CCCCGAACGAAAACCGATATTCGGGCTTTTCTTGGAATAGCTGGTTACTATCGTAAGTACATCCCTAGATATTCCGACATTGCCAGCACTCTTACTGACGCGTTGCGCAAGACCGAGCCCCAAATGGTCGACTGGGATGAGGAGAAAGAAAAGGCTTTCCGCGTTTTGAAAGCGGCCTTTTCGAGCCAACCCTTGCTTAGTTCACCGGACTACTCGAGGCCTTTCATAGTCCAATGCGACGCTAGTGATAGAGGCATGGGAGCAGTTCTTAGTCAAAGGGATGAGGGGGATCAAGAGCATCCCGTCCTCTATGTTAGCCGGAAACTCACCCTTCGCGAGCAGGTTTACAGCGCTAGCGAAAAGGAATGTGCGTGCTTGGTTTGGGCAGTCCAGAAACTGGCTTGTTATATTGCCGGAAGCAAGTTCATTGTGGAAGTGGACCACTGTCCTCTCACCTGACTACAGACCATGTCCTCTAAGAAAGGCCGCCTGTTGCGTTGGAGCCTCGTTTTGCAACAATATACGTTTGAAATACGCTACAAAAAGGGTGTACTCCATGGCAACGCTGATGGCTTAAGTCGATGCCCCTGACGCGAGAGGATGTCTCGAGAACTCTGCCATTTTTTTTCCTGACCTAGAGAAGAGCTAGTGATTGTTTTTTTTACTCTTTTAGGTGTACTTGTTTGAAAACGTTGAAGACACGGCTATCCAGGGTTTCGGGTTCGGTGTGCTTCCAGTGTTGTTGTTTTGTGTCACCTTAAAGTGTGAGTAACATTTTGAATAAATTGTGTATTTCCTTTAATATCAGTTAAAGGGGAAAATTGCCTGGTGGAGTTTGGCGGAATTGTCCGGCGCTCAGCGGCTGAGTAGTTGTGTTTTCTTGTGCGTATGTGATGTCTGTTGAGCCCACAATGAAGCAGGTGTTTTCATCAAAGACGGTCGTCACCAAACCGACTGCCGGCGCTGATCTCTCCGGACAGTGGCTGCAAACCTCAGCCCATCGAGATCTTCTACCCCCCCGCGCGAGAGACTGTTACTACCGGCCCTAGGGAACCAAGCAAGAGGAGTTTGGGGGAGAACTGGTTCTTGACCGACGGTGTCGTCCACCCCCACCTCCCCATTCAGGCTCCTCCTCTCGCCGGGAGAACTCCCGAATCTGCTGAGCGTTCGTGACCATGTTTGGCAACATTTTAGGGCGCCGTGACCATATATGGACATCGTGTTAGCTTGTGCCACTCCATGTGTTGTGAGAGGTGTTTCCCCCTCCCTCGTGGCCGAGGTGCCGGGGACACCGTATTGGCTGACGATGCGGACAAGGCGCCCAGTGTCAACAACGCGGTGCTATAAAATGCCGAAGACGTTTTGTATCACTCTCACTCTTCTCTCTTTGGATCAGTTGATCACTTCTCTACATGTAAATAAACCTCTGTCGTTCGTTCGGGCGCTCCTTCTTGCTGAATTGTTGGACGATGGATCCTGCGACGGGGCCAGCTACCGAAAACGAGACCGGCAGGACCCGGAGTCCCAACAGTACTCACAAGTGTGAGTAGTCGTGAGTATGAAATGAGTGAGTACTCATCAGTGTGAGTAGTCGTGAGTATGAACGTGAGTGAGTACTTTGAGTGTGAGAAGGAGTGAGTATGAACGTGAGTGTGTTTCTGAGTGTGACAAGGAGGGAGTATGAACGTTAGTGAGTACTCATGAGTGCGAGTAGGCGTGAGTATGAACGTGAGTGAGGGTGAAGGCTGAAAAAATTGTGGTGAGTGAGTATGAGTGAGTAGTCTCTCAAAGTGCCGACCTATGCCTGGCGGACTCATTTGCGGCTCCTCGGGAGGATTCACCGTATCACCGAAAGACCTCCGGAGGTTCGCCAACTTCACCATCATCCACTCCGTTGAGATATTAGAATTTTTTGTACCTCCTAAAGTATGAGAACAGATCGAAAACAAAGTGTTTTATTTATTTTAAAATTAATTTATTTCAGGACGACCACTTACTTACTTCTCGTACGAAGCTTTGCGGCAATAAAACACTACCTTATTTAATTAAATAGACAAAGCATGGCTGTTTCACTTCGTGGCAGCTCATGCGAAGTTGGGAAGAAAGAGAGAGAAGCGCTCTTAGAAAAAAAGAGAAGTTTTTTCTTTCTTTTTTTTTCTTTTAAGCCGAAGAGGTAACACGAGTGTGAGACGCGGCACCGTGATTAGGTCCGTGTTTCCTTTTTTTCATTCTAACCTCCACCACAACCAGCGTACAACCTCGCCGACGGCCGCGCGCAGGATATCAGCGCAAGGAAGCCCAAAGTGGCGTCGGCGGGACGGCTGAACGTTTCGTCGAAACTTTTCGAGAATCTCCGCACAGTTCTGCTCGCTATCACCTCTTCGCTCCTTAGCGACATCCGGCCCGGCGGTCTTCAAAGGAGAATTTTCGCCGTGGTCGTTACCATCTAATCACAATCGCGAACTCGCCGAAAGATCTGACAATCACCAATACCTACGCGGTGGGTGGCGGCAAAAGATGCTTCACTCGGATAAGCAGGACACCCGACATGCACAGTCGCAGAGTCATTCTGCGCGAACACCAACTTTTCTTACTGTGGTTGGCTTGCGAGGTCTAATGACCTAAACTGACTCATGCTATGAGAAACGCCGCAATGGAGAAAGGAGAATAATTACGACCACCTGAAGTTTTTTTTTTTTTAACATGTGCTGATATTGTATACAGCACACGACCCTATAGCCTTTCGCCTCTTTAGGGTCGGCAGCCGAGTACCACAACCACTAGGGTGCCGCTGCAGGCATTAGACTAGGCCGTGATCAATGTACAGTTGTCAGCAAGCTACACACATACGCTCCGACGCCTGGCCCGGGCTAATTTGACTGATGCGAGCCGCAAAGCGCTGCACGCTGTGGCCGAGATAATAACTCGGTATGCTTGAATCCCATTGTTGCGTAGGTATGACGATTGCTATAGCGCGAGAACAAAACGACGACACAGAGACAAGGAGGACACGAAGGACACGAGTCCTTCTTGTCTCAGTGTCGTCGTTTTGTTCTCGTGCTATAACTATCGTCATGCCATACCAACTAGCCGAAGCTGCCACACTTCCAAGTTGCGTAGGTGTTACGACGTACGTCGGCATCCATGGTTAGCTGTAGGAACCAGTGCTCCGGTGTGCTAGCGCCGATCAAACTATTTCAGGATACGCGGCGGAGCATTCGCGTTAAATGATGACCGTACGTGCAAGGACATGGTTGGTTTTCTAGGAATGCTAAAGGTGCAACGCGCCACTCTTTCCGAAGCTGCCAATGATTTAACGAGCTTGGACACGCTTGGCGTAATCGAACAATAAAAAGATATCGTTAGGTTTCACGTGCCGAAGCCACTAATGATTACGAGGCCCGCCGCGCAGTTGGGGGCTTCAAATTAAATTTCGACTACCAGGAATTCTTTGACCTAAATCTAAATCCAAGTACATGTGCACCCTTAAATTTCACGCCCCTTCGAAGCGCAGCAGTCCTTCAGCGTAGCAGCGGGGCACCTTAGATATATTCGAGTGATGATGAGCGGCCAGCCTTAATTGATTTGTGGGGTTTAACGTCCCAAAACCACTATATGATTATGAGAGACGCCGTAGTGGAGGGCTCCGGAAATTTAGACCACCTGGGGTTCTTTAACGTGCACCCAAATCTGAGCACACGGGCCTACAACATTTCCGCCTCCATCGGAAATGCAACCGCCGCAGCCGGGATTTGAACCCGCGACCTGAGTGGTCAGCCTTGCGTTCCGTGTGGTGCACTTGGTAAGTGGCTCGTTAAATTTTTGTTCCTTGAGTATCTTAAAAAAAAAAAAAACGTAACACCGTTGTTGTATAGTTTATTCCTTCTAGGCGCTGCAATGAACGGGTGCGCAGTTAGTACGAAGGCTGCTTGCTAGCCATTTTTTGTGTGTGTGTGTGGATCTATCTGGTCATTGTCTGAAAATCATGACTGTACTCTTAATTCAGAACAAGCCGCAGAAACAAGAACTGCCGGTTTTTTACCCGCATGTCACGGGTTCGAATCCCGGCTGCGGCGGCTGCATTTCCGATGGAGGCGGAAATGTTATAGGCCCGTGTGCTCAGATTTGGGTGCACGTTAAAGAACCCCAGGTGGTCTAAATTTCCGGAGCCCTCCACTACGGCGTCTCTCATAATCATATGGTGGTTTTGGGACGTTAAACCCCACATATCAATCAATCAAGAACTGCCGTTTCTGCGTTCAAGGAGCTGGCCGTCCCTACAACGGTATATCTGCGTTGGTACGAGCTCACGATTTAAACGCGGGCACACTCACATCAACATACAAGAGGCACGAAAGTTATTGCGTTGATGTTTTTTTGTTTTTTTTTTGTCTGAACCCGCCCTATTTTCCGTGCTTCTGTCGCAGCAGTCTTTCAACCCCGAGTGCTCACCTCGAAACGCATAACGACGCCAACACTCAGTAACAGCAAAAAAAAAAAAAAAACACGTGCACGCGACGGAGCGCTCACAGAAAGTGTGCTCGATTCGTACCGAACGCACGGAAGAAGAAATAACAGATATAAAAGAAAAATATGGCGGGGGGGGGGGGGGGGGGGGGAAGAGGAGTGTCAAGAAGGGAAAGCGGGTGTCGCAATGTGGGCGGCTATAGCGACCACCGTGTGCGGGCGGTGGAGAGCGCGCGCTTCGCTTGTCCCGTTATCTCGGGCAGCGAGATGACAGCAGGCATTCGAGGCGACACGAGCGCCAGAGCTGGCTGACGCAAACGTGCGCCACTTCGCCACTGCCGCCGTGCAGAGTTTGCAGTGAAAGCCGAGCCCGACACCGGAGGGACCCAAAAACCGCAACCCGTGGTTGGGCCTCGACCGACTGGTGAGCAGGCAGTTTGGCACCCGCAGCAGCTCTCTCTCCTCCTCAGTCGAGAGGGGCTCGAACCCCGGAGAGGGCGCCAAATTTGGAGCGCGGGAAATTCTGCACCCACCTCTTTGAACTCGGCGATCTGGTTCTGTTCGAACATGGCGAACACGTTGGATGTGGCCCGCTGGGCGCGCCTCTTCGTAGAGTCGCTCTTTCCTCGCTTGGACTGCGTCGTAAAATAGAAGAAGGAGAAGGGGGAGAAGGCGAGGAAAAAAAAAAACATGTGTTAAGAAACACTTTCTCTCGAGATGCTTTTGCCGAGAAGCGGAGTGTCAAGCACTAAGCGGCAGACATTTTACCCGCGCTCTCGCCTAGACATTTTACGAGCTCGCTTATTTTGGCCTTGACGGAAGCTTGGCACGCGAGCTCGCGAATACTTCCAGCACCCTTTAAAACGGGGTGTTCTCACTAGTGCAGGCAGATGTCAAAATTGCGTGCTTTTTTTTGTTGTTGTTACTAAGCTACATGTTATTTATTAGCCACAAAAACGCAAGCTAATGCTAACGTCTTAGTTTATTGTGATAATTTTTTTTTCGACAGGCTTTACTGAGAATGCTTTAATTCAGTGGTTTTCAAGCAGATGTCCGAGCACCAATGAGAACACGTGTAGCGCATCGTAAAAAAAAAGCTCGTTTTTTGGAGGAACACGATGTGCCTCAACAATGACCCCTCAATCTTTTGTATGTTTTACCGCATAACATAATTACATTGGAGTGGAGCTGACGTAAGTTTCTCCTTTTTTACATGAGAAAACTGTAAAGCTTTTGTTGCATTCTTCTACGACATGTGCGAGCGAGCATATTTTTCTGGGCTTGCATGCACCCGAAGAGAAATTATAGCTAGAAATAGCTTGAGTGTGGCTACAGTCTAGCCAACTAATTGACAACCTGGTGAGATCGATTGTGCATGACACCTCAGTTCGTTACATTCTTTGCCGGGAAGAAATCAGACACATATTTCAGGCTGCATGTTTATGAAACCTCGTCCCTCCTTTTCCGTGTTTGCAAAGGGTTTCTTCTCACTTCCATAGTTCCACAAGGTGCCACTGAACATGCATGAGTGACAACCGTTGATCTATTTTGTGCCGTAATGATTTTGTAAGTGAATATAAGTATTTGTTGCTTGAAAAATAAAAAGAGACTAGAAAACTTCGCAACTGTATTATAACCGGAACGACCACTGAGAGTTGTCAATCACACACCTCTTGGCGATTTCTGTAGTTTACACTTGCTTATCGAGTTCTATTTAACACCTAACGATTCGTTAACGTCTTGTGAAAGTACGGTTGACCAAAAAAAAAAAAGAAAAGTTGGGGAGGTGACGATGCAGAGAAAGCATTGCCCGAAAATTTATCTCCGAAATACCTCAGCGTTGTCGAAGGTATCGGCAAATTAGCAGCTATCAGCCGCGGTGACCTTGTCCGGTCTACAACACTGTCAGGCGTATTAGTGCGCGCCGGGTTCTACATGAAGGGCGCAGTCAGACCGAAGCCCCACCCCCCTGCTGCGCGAGTTCAAAAGAATACAAGCTTCACGGTGGACGCTAAAACGAAAATGAAGTGACGAAGCGCCTCCCCGAACTTTGGGCCCGGCATTACGGGGGTGAAAATGGGAAGTGAGGAGCTCTTGCAGGGCAGCCTATCAGTGGTTCTCGGCCGTCATTATCATCATAAACCTGCCAGACCATAACCTCGTGCTTCAAAGAATGCCTGAACATGCCCGTCTAAGCAAACATAGTGCATGGGCCGACTCCCGTGACCCCTTCGCGAACCCCATTATGAGAGGCGCCAACCTCGTGCTTCAAAGAATGCCGGTACATGCCCGTCTAAGCAAACATAGTGCATGGGCCGACTCCCCTGCCCACTTCGCGAACCCCATTATGAGAGTACACTGGATGGCGCGGGAACTTCAGACCACCTGGTGTTCTTGAAGACACTGACATCGCACGAAGCACGGACCTCTATCTGCCGTTTCAATGGAGGCGAAATGGTAGAAGGAGGCCTGTGTTTTGTGCTATGTCAGTGACGGACACCAAATGCTCGGAAGTTCCGGAGCTTTCCAGTATACGGCGTTTCTCATAATCATAGCGGTGTTTTTGTACTCAAGGCCTCACGGTTATTCTATGCACGCCTGCGGTCACAGGGGCCATCAATGTGCTCATTGAACGCTCTTAAGCCTAATTACAATACAAGCTATAACGATAAGTTTAACGCGGTTGCTTCACTTACGGCATCCTCCGTCGTGTCGCAGGGTACGTCAGCCGTTTCCGACTCCGTCGTGGACATGCTTGGCGTGAAACCTCGATGTATATCTAAGACCGGAGATTAGGTGCCACTTCGTTTGCGTTAGAACGCGATGACGCCTGCTCTGTTCTGCACCGAGTGGATCGTGCCCACTGAGGGGCATTGTATGGTAACGTGACGATGATTATTCTGATAACCCTAAAAGTTCTGGTACCTACACACTTAGGGGAACTAATTAAATATTCGTCGGATATAGTATAGTTTTAAAGATGTCTTTATGGAAGAATGCTGAACATAATTTAAAATGAACATTTTTAATATTAACTAATATATTAATATATTATTATTATTATTATTATTATTATTATTATTATTATTATTATTATTATTATTATTATTATTATTGCTAACCATTTTTATTGCCATTCTAAAAATAACAACGCATAGATCTTTCACCAAGCTGAACCGACATCAGTAGTACATATGGTTGCTAAGTAGTGTATGGTTCATGAAAACTTGATTTATTGATATGTGGGGTTTAACGTCCCAAAACCACTATATGATTATGAGAGACGCCGTAGTGGAGGGCTCCGGAAATTTAGACCACCTGCAGGGGTTCTTTAACGTGCACCCAAATCTGAGCACACGGGCCTACAACATTTCCGCCTCCATCGGAAATGCAGCCGCCGCAGCCGGGATTCGAACCCGCGACCTGCGGGTCAGCAGCCGAGTACCTTAGCCACTAGACCACCGCGGCGGGGCATGAAAACTTGTGAAAGCCCGGTTGACACCAGTCTTGATTTCTTTTAAAGAGCTCGTTTCGCAGCGATCCCGGTGTCGCCGTCGTTGGTTGTGGGCAAGAAATCGTGGAGGATGCAAATTACAAAAAATTGGTGGTCCTCAGTGAAATCTAGCCTATAGTCCCCTGCGTGGCATGCAGCTGCTTAGCATGGAGCCAAAAACCGTTGCTTAAAAAAAAGAACAAAACTTATGCAGGCGTCATTTAATACGGGTGGTCGCATTAATGCATGCTGTATTCAGAAGCGTAGAATGGCACCAGGTGCCGCACCATGTGAATTGCAAAATGAGTGGGTGCTGCATGAGAAGAACCACCCAACGCCTTTTTTTTTTTCAATGCCGTACAGACGCTCGCTCCTCAAAGTGTCCGCTTTAGTTGAGGCAGCAGTTGTGAGGCGACGCTCCATAAGGTAACTGCTGCTTGCATCACTGGTAGATTTTCCACGGAGCTACGATGGGCGTGCTTTCCCCTCTCCAACGTTATGCGTTTTGTCAGATTTTTCTTCTTCGTGCTCCTTCATTGTGGCTCGAAACAATGCCACCATCACCTCACTGCGCTTCTGTGGCACATCTTAAGTCATCGCATGCAGTAGCGTCGCAGTGGCGCGTCCTCACTGGTTACCCGCGTAGCGCCACGAACGAGACATGCTATCTCAAAACACTGTGTCTTGTACAGAACCAGCGTGACTGCCAACAAGAGCTTTCGCCAGTGGTGCCCCGTCCTCAGACTCATGCAACCGTGTCCATATTTCCTGTCTTCTTCTCACTTCCGTCGCTCCCTCTCTCTGCGCCTCGCTCTCTCCTACCTCTCTCTCTATCTCTCTACCTTTTAATCCTATCTTTTTAATCCCTTCTCTACCCTCATCCCTCGTGAGCTACTGTTGAGGTGTCCTCCCCCTGAGAGACAGTTACGGGGCTCACTTTTCTCTTTTTTTCGTTTATAATCACTTCCCCCCTCCCCCCACATGGTAAACACGAGGGATGCAAGACGCCGCCCCACAGGTCTGTTCACAACTTAACCGAAAATTACTTCATATGATTGCCATTGTGGGGCACCACATGATGGGTTCTCTCACCCATGACCACAAAGCGCACGCGAAGGTTAGGTGATGGGCGAAAGCAGGAAAGGGCTAGAGGAGATGGGGGTGAATGGCTGGATCGGGTGCATCTCTGGCTGGCATTGAACAAATAGAAGAGGTGCTGGCCTAGCCGTCATAAAGCGCTCGAGCACAATTGTCAGCCGATAAATAATGTCTGCATCTGCATAAGTGAGCGTCTGCGCGTATTGTTTTACGAATGCGTAGTAGGCACTTCGCTAATTCGCAATAGCATGACCAAGGGTAGGCGAGAAATTTGCAAGCGTACTAGCAGTGGACATGCATTCTGAGAAACTTCAAAATGGCCAATATTAATGAGTTCATATGCGAGAGCTTCAATTCACCTCAACTTTATCGATTACATTGTAGTAATCCACGATTAAAAATTCTCGAGCAACATCATACCATAAAAAGTGTACACTAAGTGGTTGAAGTACGCAATAAGAACGGGACAAGATATCGCTATATATTGCGTTCAACTTTTAAAAGCGCAAAGTAAGAGTCCCTAAATCCTTTTTCAATGTAATTCAGGTCTTTTCAGCTGAGTCAGTATTCCAATCATTTCGATGACTCCACGGTTTTAAATACTTGGACAATCACTGAACGACATACTTAATATATATTTTTGCTATCTGCTATGTCTGTACCTTTTTCTTTTATTAGCGATACATAATTGGCTGTGGATCGCTCAGTACCTAAAGTAACATTTGGACAGCACGTCAAAGTTTCTTCACTTGCGGTTTCTTCTCGTGCTTCTCGCCCTCTTATTTTTCTCACGCGAACGCGCGGGCACGAAAACACCTGGAATTCGGCGTCACTGGCGTGGGGGAGGAATTTCACGGAGCTCTAATCATGTTAACCCAGTCATGGCTGCAGCGTCAACCCCACTAAAGATACGGAGGGGCTTTAGACCTATTTGCAGCTGGCGTGTGATAACACCGACGGGTTCGAAGTTTAAGATTACCAAGTGGCACTTTATCTGGAGAATCATCGTTATCATAATGAGTATTTTTACTGTCCACTGTGAGG